TTAAACATCATTAAGTTCCTCTAAAAGGAGATTGAGCACAGATATTCAGACTTGAAAGCCACCATCTTCCCCCAGTTCAACTCAATTGTCATTTTCCAGCTGCTTCATATTTTTGTAATGGATTTCACCCATCGATTGTCAGATTTATGAAGAGTTTCTGAATCATTAAAAAGCCTGACATCACATTTGTCTCAAATCACAAATCAGGTAATTAGCCTGTAAACTGCTACCCTGTGACTGAAAAGCCTCCTGGTATAATATATCATTTCATTGGCAATGAGTCCCAAATGACCTGTTAACAAGTGAGCAGCAGCAGCAGTGAGGCCACTTTGTAAACAACGACGCGTTCCAGTTGAATGTGCATCCTGACTCAAAGCAGATCTGCAACAGGGCAGTGGTTTCCAAACATGTCCCATTCCTCAAGGGCCTTCAGCTCCAGAGACACCAGGACATTCACATGAATAGCATTTCCAGGGCACCGGCATTAGTCCTGAAGGTAAAGCTGCTTTCTTGGCCTTCAAGTTTCTGATAAATCAATAGTAGCTTCAGCTGTATGAATCCAAAAAGGAGATGAAATTAGGTGGGTCATTATGGGAGACAAGAATCTCCTCCTGGTAGGTGTAGGACAAGAGATTGACTTTTAATGGCTTCCTCAGGTTCATCGTGTCCCCGGAAGTACTGGGGCTAAATGCTTTATTTCTTTTTTTTTCCTCTTTTCCAAATGAAACACGTCCAATATGGAAGACAACATCAGTGGCTTCGGCAGATTAGAATGGAGCAAAGAGAAGAAGGAATCAGAGAGGAGGCATTGTGGGAGCAGGAATGAACAGAGGGGAAGAGGAGGCCAGCAGAATGACTGTGGTTTCGACAACTTTCAACTGAACAACAAAACAGACAGCCTGAAGGGTTGGACTGTAGGAACTAAATGTAAATGCTGTCACTCCCAAGGATGCTCAGGGCTTAAAGGTGTCTTGGAGGGGAGGAGAGGAAGAGGGAGAAGAGGGGGGGAAGGGAGAGGGAGAGGGGAAGAGACAGGGAGAGACGGAGGAAATGAGTTTGAGCAAACCAAAGCTATACGCAGGAACATAATTGGGAAGGAGTTTCCCAGGAGGTATCTGAAGTCTATCTGCCAAGGACTCCTCTCTCGACTGAGCCCTACTGACTGAGGACATCGGGCACCAACTCAACAGGACTGTCTCGAAGTCGATCTCCCGTAAACAGGAACAATAAATCTGAGTTCTCAGACAGAAATGGGAGGTGGGGGTGGGGAGAGAGAAAGTAGATGGAAATAATTCTGAAAATTATTGTACATAAGACATATGAAGTTTTTAATCAAGAATTTCCAGGAGCCAAGAGACCACGGATGTTAAGAGGTGAACAGCAGGCAGAGAGGGCATGGACTCCCCACCACTTTGAGTGAGTGTGACCTCTCACATCGCTGTGCTCCAATAAGTCACAATATCGCGATTTTGTCTCTGGGTGTGCTCCCTGCGCTGATGCTGATAGCGACCCCTCCGTGCATTGGCTACAGCTGGTCACTGTGAGATTGACCAGATGCTGAGTCTCCCTGGACTAGCCTGGCCGCTGCTTGGATGACAGTCCATCTGTGAGTCAAGATCAGGAGTTTTTCTAACTTGACAGAATCTGCCAAAGTTTGGGCTGCTCTACCATTATCTTGCACTCAGAGAAATCAGTGGGAAATATCACTGTGAATCTGAACAGACCACTATTACTGGTCTTAGAAATACCAATGGCTGGACACAAAGGAAGTTGTCGAGGCTTTATTCGGAGTTTTAAGCAGTAACATGGCCAGGATGGGGCACACCCTTCCTTCCCCGTTCTATCTCTCTTTCCTAGGACTCCAATTAAACAATCATCACCATCATCCCTAGTACTGATGCAGGAATTTGTAGGGGGAGGAGGGAGGGAGAGAATTCAGTGCTGAGAACACAAGATAATTTGATTAAAAATAATAATAATAATGCCTAATATTTATATAGCACTTCTAAGGTTTGCAAAGCACTTTACAAATGTTAACTCATTTGATCCTCACAACCTAGAGGGATAGGGACTATTATGAACCCCATTGTACAGATGAGGAAACTGAGGTAGAGAGAGGTTAAGTGACTTGCCTAGGGTCATACAGCTAGGAAGTGTCTCAGGACAGATTAGAACACAGGTCTTCCTGACTCCAGGACCAGCAACGTGCCCCTAGATGCTTAGGGTTATGTTATATTGGTGGTGCCTTATCTGGCACAGCCACGGGAGCTGCATCCCACAGGGACTGAGTAGTGAGGATGACTAGTGCCTCCTGCCCCACCCCGACCCAGAACAAACCCGTTAATTTGCCCTGATTTTCATACTTGTGCTAGGTGCTTATGGGTTCCTGTCTGTCTCCTTCCTTGAGGAGTTCTTTCTGTTTGCCTTTCTCCAACAGGAGATTTCTATCTGCCATCTTATATGTCAAAGGATTTCTCTGGGATCAGAAATCTGGAGAGGAAGATGAAGGCTTTCAGCCAGCTGCCTGGTGACTGGCACCTGACTTTGTCTGGCAGTGTTGGGGGGGTGGCGGGGTAGAGGCAGAAGGGAGGGAAGGAGGAGAGAAAAGGCCTTTGATTCCCTTAGCTCCACATTGCTCCAGAACCCTCAGGCAAAGGGTCTATACAATGCTGGAATCAATATCTTTGTGAAATGAAAATCAATGCTCCTTTTTCTTTTGACCCAGAAGGTCAAATTATTCATGTAATTAAAGATCAATAAAGATGTGGATTACATAAAATCAAGAGATGCTCTAAAATCTATATTTGGTCTCAGAAATTTTGACCATAGAACACTAATTAAGACAAAGAGGCCATACAGTGAGGGTGTGGTGGCTGGCATTCTGAGATTGGAGTCAGGAAGTCCTGGGTTCAAAGCTTCCTCTGAAAGCTCTGTGCTCTAGAGCAATTCATTTGAGCTCTCTGAGTCTCAGTTTCTATATCTGTATGATGAGGATAATAGCAGTATCTGCCTCACAGGACTACTGGGGAGGCTCACATGAGACAAGCTATGTCCAGTGCTTTACAAACCTTAAAAAGCTCAGAGAATGTGAGCTATTGTCACTATTGCTGTTTGATTTTTCTGTCCAGACGACAGGCAGTATGGGTCAGTGGAAAGAGCTCTGGACTGTAGCCAGAGGGCCTTGGGTCAAGCACTGTCTGTCACTTTCTTACCTGTTGGACCCCACAACTCTTCTTGGCCTCAGTTTCCTCATCTGTAGAATGAGGGAATTAGCCTCTGGGGTCTTTTCTAAATCTAGGTTCTAAATCTGTGACCCTGGAGCTCCTCCCTTCCTTCCTACAACCTGGTGTTCACCCTTCATTTTCAAAGAGGACCAATGACATCACAGTGTGATGTGCTGACTTGTACATGAATTGGATTTAAATGATGAGAGTTGGGTGAAGTCTTCAGCCTCACTCTCTCTTCCAAAGTCACCATCGTCCATCAGTAAGACAAAAGTAAGCCCAGGGGCAGTGGCCCAGGACTCAGTGGATGACCTTGGCATCTTCAATGTCCGACCAAGCTCCAAGCGTTCCACTGGGGTGCTGCATTTGCCTCCATGGCCAGTGGAACAAACTGTTCTCACCGACCCCTTCTGCCAAAGGAAGTCTTCACACTTGGGGCAGACATCCCCCTAACTCAATGGAGGGTCTGACACCCGGAGTTACCCTCAACTTGGCTTAGCCCATCTGCTGAGACGGTTTTATGGGGGTGTGGCCGCTGAGCGTTATACGGCTTCCTGGGGCACAGGTGAGAATTGGGTGATGGGTGGACACCAAAGGTGGATAAGCAGCCCTGAAAACCTAGTCTAGTCTAAGGCACCCTCCCATGGGAGCCTCAGTTAAAGGGCCTGAAGATGTCTCGTCTGGAGAGAGAAGACTATGGCAAGGCATGGAGTTATCTTCAAGCACTTGAAGGCTTATCATGGGAAATCAGGGACTGAGCTGTTCTGTTTAACCCCAGAGGGCAGATCCAGGATCAACAGGTGCCAGATGCAGCAAGGTATAGAACAGGAATAACTTTCCAATGAAATGGAATTATCCCAAACTACAGCGGGCTCGTCATAGGGAGTGGGCATCCCCATTCTTCAAAAGGTATACTACGTAGGCACAGCTCCAAAAAATCAATGAGTCAGGCAATCAACAAGCATTTATGTGCCAAGAATGGTGCTAAGTTCCAGAAACACCAACAGTCAAGTCAGAGGCTGCCCTCCAGGAGTTTACATTCTAATGGAGGAGACAACTTGTACCTAAGTGTATACATACTGGACACACACACAGATTATATGGAATGTAACCTCAGAGAGGAAGGGAACGGGGAGCGGGTTGTTTGAAACAAGGTCCCACAGAAGGAGACCTCAGAATTGAGTCTTGAGGAAAGCCAGGGCAAGATGCGTCTAGCTCAGTGTTATCCCTCTCTCCCTATGTCCCTCCCACTCCCTGAGCTCTCAGCCTGGCCCAGACCCATCCTTCTTTCACTGGCCAGTCCCTCAATTAGGATTAATCCATTAATTGGGTCCTACTCAAGGGCTCACTTCTGAGCCTGGAACTCTGGGACCTAAATCAAGGTGATGGGAAGAGGAGGGGGTCAGAGACTACAGCATACAAGGATCCAAGGAAGGAAGCTGGGATATGGAGTCTGGAGGAGAGCAGACTGGGATGGAATGTGGGTGCCCAAAATCAGAAGTGTCCCCAAGAAGAGAGGATCACCTCTGGGAGGGGGTGCTGCAATAGGGTGCTTACTCCTGGATCCTTGTGTAGTAATTACTTATTCAAGATTCCTTCCCAGGCACTGGCCATATGAGAAGGCCTTGGAGGAGCCCAAACCCTGATGGCTTAATTTACATACATTTACATTACATTTACATAATTTACATGGAAATTAGAACACCAAAGGAATACCCCATCTTTCCCAAATGTTACTATAATACACTGAATGAAACAAGAAAAAAGCAGCCTTACCCCCTCAGGATTATACTTTGCTAGCACGCCATTGCCATGGAATTCTCCCAGGACATCCTTGATTTTTTTTGTAGAATCTGCAGAGAAAAGAAAATATAGTAATATAATTCTCTAGTTCATCATTGCTACAGCATATTAGACAAAGGAATAGAAAGGCCTATTTGTAGTGACCTTTCTTTTTTTCCCCCTCAAATCAGTGAACATTTATTAAGCACCTACTGTGTGCAAGACAGCATTGTGCTGGGAACACTGAAACAAAAACCCAACAATCTCTGCTCTCAAGGAGCTAATGTTCAACCTAAGGAGACAGAACATACTGGGCACCCACTCCTGCCCATCAACAGAAAGAGACACCCAGAATGCAGCCCACAAATCAATTTCAATGTTCTTGAAATGGTCTTAACATAAAGTAAATGTGAAGGAGACCAAGAAGAGAGACAATAAAGGCCTTATGGGATTGTATTATTCTCGCAGCTTTATTATTTTAACATTTTAATTAATTTATTTTAGACTTTCTTTTCTTCTTCAGTTTTGAGTTCCAAATTCTCCCCCTCCCCCACTGGCTGAGAAGGCAAGCCACATGACATCTACTATCCCTGTGAAGTCATACAAAACATATTCCCCCAGCTTTAAAAACAAGAACTGATATAAATATGAGAGGATTGAGTTTTCCCAACTCACTGGAGAGAAAACCCAGAAGTTAAATCAGATAATGGATAACTACCGAAGACAGAGAGGAAGATTGGAATGAAAGAACCAAGATTGAAATCCTACCCCTGCTACCTGCATGCCTTAGGTAAGCCACTGACCTCGCATGTCTGGCCTCTGTTTCCTCATTAATGAAAAGGAGAGGGTAGGGCTAGGTCAGCTGGTCTTCAACTCTAAGACAAGCGGGGCCACTAGTTCATGCATAAAGATCCCTGGGAGCCCCACACTGACTCTTTGAAGATGTAATGGGAGCGATGTTTTTACTGTATTTTTATTTTGTTAAATCTCTCCTAATTACATTTTAATCAGCTTTAAGTGTGGTGCACTGAGGTCTGTGTGCCTGATACCTCTGGGCTAGATGACCCAGCTCTCTTCCAGGTTTCAATCTATGATCTTACATTATTTCAATTCAATTCCAACATTTTTGAAGTACAAACTTTGCAAGAACTGGTATAAACGTGAGAGAAATAAATGATCTACATGTAAGCCACTGAAACAGGTCAAATTGACGTTGTCTGTCCTTCGCTCTCAAGAGGACCACAATATCAGGGAGGGGATGCCATGACATGTGAGTGAACTGGAGTAAAGTGAGGCAGGGCTGTGCAGAGTCACCAGCCTCACTCTCTTCTCAGGAGCCATCTGGGTCAGGTGACCAGATACAGATCATGACGACTGGAGATGGCCCCAGATGCAGTAGGGACCTTGGCCTTTTTAAGCTAAAATCCTTCCCAGGTCTTAGTTTGACTGAAGCAATGCCCATCCAGTGACTAAGGCTAGGTAAGAAATGAGGCAACCTGGTCAAAAAAAAATCCATCTGGGAGGGGAAGCCCCCCAGGATTTCTGGCCAAAGCAGAAATAATTGCTATTTACATTCACTCTCAGTCAATCAGGGCCCAAACAGTAGCTTCTAGTCTAAAGGTACCTATGTGGTTCAGTGGATAGCACACAGGGCCTGGAGTCAAGAAGACCTGAGTTGAAATCTGACTTCAGACATTTACTAGCTGTGCGACCTTGGGCAAATCACTTAAGTTTGCCTTAAGCCCCTGGAGAAGGAAATGGTAAACCAAACCTAATGTCTTTGGTAAGAAAACTCCATGGACAGTACTGGCATGCTATGGTCCACAGGGTCACAGAGGTAGACAAGACTGAACAACAATAAAGCTTCCAGTTTACCAGGGGAACAGAAGGTACAACATATGCACAGATAAATAAATGCAAAGTAATTTAAAGAAAAAGTATTAATCATTGAGGAGACCAGGGAAGGTTTCATAAAGTGTATATGTATGGAAGGCCTGGGAGGACACTTAAGCAAATGCATGCAGTGGGAGATAGAACCTTCAGTCCGGGGAGTCCAGTTACAATGGAAAATAGAGTCTGCGCTGGAGTTTAATATAAAGTAAGCCCAGAGAGGGAAATGAGTCAGCTTTGTAGAAGGCCTTGAATGACACACCAGTAAGTTTTTATTTTATCCCAAAGAAAATAGGAAGTCACTGAAGGCTTTTAATCAATGGAATGATGTGGTTAGAGATACAGTGCACTGTAAATTCATCTTCGGGAAATTTTTAGAATTGACAGTTTTCCTGGTGTTCACTAGAGAACCCACTCATTGTTCCATGGGACTTTCTCCAGGTCATCTATACGCCTGGAGAGTACAGATGGATTTCAGGGTGTCCATGAATTTGGATGGGAAGAAAACTGCATCTTTATTTCGATATGCATAATTGGTTTCCTTTGTAATCCTATGGATCTTATTTTATGCATTTAGAGACATAATTCTGAGAAGGAGTCCACAGGCTCCAACAGGCTGGTCCAGGGGTCCAGGACACACAAAAGGTCAAGATTCCTCCTATCAGGTTTTTATAAAGCTCTCTGGATACCCATTCAGCACGCAAGAGTCATCCTTTGGCCTCACTCAATGAATGCTCCATCTCACCATCCCTTCATCCATTCCAGGGATGCTATCCTCCACAAGAGGCAGTAGGGGACAGTGGTTAGTCTTGGAGCTAGGAAACCTGGGTTCTTGTCCTATTTCTGCTACATATCACATGACCTGCCAGGTCACTCACCTGCTCATTGTCCCAGGCCTGCTCCAAGATTATAAAGTGCAGAGAGATTTCTTATCCATATCAATGGAGAGACTTTCTACATTAGAATTTCCCAACTATAAAATCTCAGATCTGGACAAAAACGAAAAAGTAACCTATGCTGCTTCTTGCACCAAGTCCCTGTTAGTCAAACGCTGCAGCCCCCGATGGCCCCCTTCGTCTCTCCAGTGTCCTGGGGTAAGCCCCAAATTGATTTATTCAGAGATGGTGGGAATCCATTAAGCTGTATGACTGTGAGTCTTAAGGCAAATGCTCATTGCAGAAACAGGCAAAGGAAATAATAATGTTAAATGATTGTTGGGGAGTAGAAGAAAAATGTCTCTTAGACTAAAAATTTACATGCTGGAAATTGACCTCAGTCTCCACCTCGTGCCATGATCAGATGAAGCATCATTTAGAATTGGGTCACCAGCAGTCTAATCTACCCTTCTCCTGTTGATGTTGATGATGATAATGAAATAATAATAATACTACTAGCATTTATATAGCACTTTAAGGTTTACAAATTGCTTCATGTATATTGAATCTTCCGACAGAGGGGGACATAGAGGCCAAAGGTCTACTTGCTACATGGGCTATTTTTTTTTTTTTTTGCTTCCACATATCCCTGATATTTCCATGAAAAAAGAAAAGTTCTCCTTTATTTATCTAATTGTTGACGTTGTGTGACCTTGGGCAAGTCATTTAACCTCTCCCTGCTGGGATGTATAGAATGTTCAGGGAGGACCAGCACCTCTGGTGGGAGAGCTACTGGGCCTTTTTCAGGGCTGCTCATCCACATCTGGTGTCCATCTGATTCACCAAACTCTCACCCAGGGCTCCAAGAAGCTGCAGCATTCTCAGTGGTCACTCCCCAGTAAAACCGTCTCAGCGACGGCCTAAACCAGGCTGAGGGGAAGTGACGAGGCTCAAACCAGTCAGTGTAGGGGGTGTCTACTCTAAGCACGTGAAGACTTCTCTGGTGGAATGAGAACAACTTGTTCCCAAGGCCATGAAAGAGGCTGAAGCAGTGCTGTGGAGCGCTTAGAGCTTGGTCAGACAGTAAAGACACAAAGGTCACCCACTCTATTCTGGGCCGTCGCCAATGGTCTTGAGTTTTGTCCTGCCACTGGAAGAGAGAATGAGGCCGAAGACATCGCACAGCTCTGCCTCACTTCAATACAAGTTATGTGTGAGTCAAGACGTCACCACGGGTCCACTTTGAAAATGAAGGATGAACAACAATAACCTCTGCTTGCCTCAGTTTCCTCATCTGTAAAATGGGGATAACTATAGCATCTGCTTTGATTATTGTGAGGGCCAAATAAGAGAATATTTGACAAGCGTTTAGCACAATTCCTGGCCCATAATAGGTGTTACATATATTAGTTAGTGTTGACGTTATTATTATCCTAGCAGGTACTATAAATACTACTTGTTGTCCATATTGTTATTATTATTCTAATAGGTGACATGTTAGTTTCTAATATTCCAGTAGGTACTATAAACATCAGTTACTGATATCATTCTAGTAGGTGCTAAAAAGATAAATTATTATTCTAGCAGGAGCTATAAATATTATAGCAGATACTATAAATATCAGTCATTAATATTATTCTAGTAGGTGCTAAAAAAGTTTATTATTATTCTAATAGGTGCTATAAATAATTGTTGATAATATTATTATTCTAATAGGTGCTATAAATATTAGCTATTATTCTAGTAGGTTCTATAAATATTATTACTCTAGTAGGTGCTACAAACATTAGTTGATGTTGATGTTATTATTTTAGTAGGTGCTATAAATGTTAGTTATTATTCTAGCAGGAGCCATAAATATCATTATTAGAGTAGGTGCTACAAATATTAGTTGTTGACATTATTCTACCATAACATAAAGGTGCTATAAAGGTTAGTTATTATTACTCTAATAGGTACTACAAATATTAGTTGTCGTTATTATTTCAGTGGATGCTATAAACCTTCAGGGTTCCTCCTCTAGTAGGTGCTCTAAATGTTCATTGTTTCCCTTTGTTTCAAGCCCACCACGACACCGACACCGTTTTAGTTCAATCACAGAACGCTGACAGAATCCGCGCAGTCAGCCCAAGACAGGAAGGCTGCTGGCTCAACGTCTCTTGCAGGACTCGTCCAAGGCCAGCACTTCCCAAGTTTCCTTCGGGTCTCCCTGCTCAGAGCTCAGCTGATTCCATTCCTGGCAGTCTTTGCTGCCGATAACAAGTCCCCTTGGTCCACGGTGCTCCAGCTCGGATACCCCTGGGTCA